GGGGTAGTCTTAATAAGTATTATTATATATGATATATAGCCACCTTGTTCAGAGCGCTGACTGTGAATCAGACTGTGTGCTAAGTGCCTTATAAACATGAACATAAATCTCTCAACCACTATTTGCAGTTTCTAAGGATGGAATACTGAGTTCAGAAAGATGAAGGAGCTTGCCCAAAAGTTACACGGGTGGCAAGCAAAGGAGCTGACACGGAATGGCAGGTCCGTCTGAGCCCCAGCTCCTAAGACTTGAGGTACTGTTCCTAATGGACGCTAGGGGGCAGCCAACCTGCAGGAATTCTCAGGTTGGGACGAAGGGAGCAAAATGCTGCTAGGGCTGTTTTTTTTTTTTCTTTGGCCTTCACCCCACCACCCGGTCATGAGAGGAGTACGGGACTTCTATCGCCTCCAGGAGGCCTGTCCTGGAGGACTGGCTGTCCATGAGCCCAATGAGGCTGCCGCTGTCATTTGACAGCAGAGCCCACAGAAAGGGGTGGAGGACTGGCTCGAAGGGCCACCTATTTCCATCCTCACCAAGTGCAGCACAAGAAGAGGGGGTGAGAGGAGGAGCAATAGAGGGAAATGGCATAGGCTAGAGCTGCCTGGTGGCTGCACATCCGAAGACCGGGGCTTGTTTTACTGAGATCCGTGGACAGGCAAGTCAGAGTAGACCCTGGGCTGGCCTGGCGTGGTGGAGCGGATGCCAGCAATGGCGCTATTGTGGAGGGCCTTTGCCACCCGAAGCAGAGGGAGAGCTGCAAAGTTGAGAGCAGTCAGGACCTGGCGCGCCCTGGGGCTCACCCGTGGCTCCAGCACGTAGTAGTAGCCCAGCGCCCGGGCCTGGCAGGTGAGTTTGCATTGGTCCCGGGGGGCCACACCTGTGTAGCGAGGGACCCAGTCCATGGGCCCTGGGAAGCTCTTGAAGAGGTCAGTGCGGTGGTTGTAGGCAGCACACTGCTCCTCACGGAAGGTCAGTGCTGCAGGGGCAAGAGGGACAGTCAGGGCCCCTCACTCCTTGCATCACCCAGGATCCCCTCCACCCAGCCCCTCAGAGCTCTAGGCAGACGGCACCACTTTCCCCTACAGATTGCGGGGCCAGCTCCCAAAGGTGAAGTCGTGCCCATCAACAGCAGGGGCAATCAACACCTCCTTGGTCCTGCACTCAAGGGACGGTCCTTCCTGCTCTACCATTCTGTCTCCAGGGCTCCCAGCCCCCAACCCTCACCTGAGCCAGTTGGGCAGTCCGCGGTGTTGCAGGAGCGGAAGCGGGTGCGGCGGCCCTCACAGTACTTGCCACCATTCCTGGGGACGGGCCTCGTGCAGTCCCGGGAGGAGAACTGGACCCCACCCCCACAGGTCCGAGAGCAGTCACCCCATGGTCCCCAGGGGCCCCAGCCACCAGCCTGAGGAATCTGCAGAGGCATGGAATGGAAGGGTGGGATTAGTGCAATCTCTCCGGGGCTTAGGGCGTCTCCACAACCCCAGGCCCTTGACACCACCCTGGCCCTGGGCTCTCACATTGAAGTCCTGGAGCTGGTCCATGTGGAGGCAGCGGCCACCCATGCAGGCCTGTGCGGGGCCACAGGGGGTGCCATCGGCCCAGGGTGAGTGCTTGGTCTGGCACATGGCATGGCCATTGAGGTGGCCAGAGCACCAGAGGGCAGCACAGGGCGGCGGCAGCTGTGGACAGTGGCGTGAGTCTGGCCCGAAGGTCAGCTGGCACTGGCGGTCAGCGTCATAGTCCTTGCCAGGGAAAGTCACAGGCAGATGCAGGGGAGCCTCTGGCTTGTCTAAGAGACAGTGTCCTGGGAAGGGGGTTGGACACAGTAAGCAAGGAGCTGAGCTTTCAGGATTGCCAACTGAAAACTTAGACTCCTGGAGGCCTGATGGGAAAATCCCCAGTCTCTACATGGCTTGAAATGGCAGCTACATTTTTTTTTTAAGTAGGAGTCCTACTCTTGCCCAGGCTGGAGTGCAGTGGTACACTCAACGGCCACCGCAGCTTTGACCTGCTGGGCGCAGATGATCCTTCCAGCTCGGCCTTCCAAGAAGCTGAAACTACAAGCGTGCACCACCATGCCTGGCTAATTTTTCTTGATTTATTGTGGAGACGAGGTCTCACCAAGTTGCCCAGGCTGGTCTCGAACCCCTGGGCTCAGGAAATCCTCTCGCCTTGTCCACCCAAAGTGCTGGGGTTGCAGGCTTGAGCCACCATGCCCGGCCTAGCTACAATTTATTGGATGCTTATTCTGTGATGAGCCTTGGCTATGTGCTTGACTAGCACGTCTTTTAATCACAGCAAACACCTAGGAGGTAGGTGCCATTATAGATATCTTTTTTTTTGAGTTGGAGTCTCACTCTGTTGCCCAGGCTGGAGTGCAGTGGCACGCTCCCAGCCACCACAGCCTCAACCTGCTGGGCTCAGGCGATCCTTCCACCTCAGCCTTCCAAGTAGCCGGAACTACATGCATGCACTACCATGCCCAGCTAATTTTTTTTTATTTTTATTATAGAGGCAAGGTCTCACCATGTTGCCCAAGCTGGTCTCAAACCTGCGGGTTCAGGCAATCCTCTCACCTCGGCCTCCCAAGGTGCTGGGATTATAGACTTGAGCCACTGTGCCTGGCCCATTATGATCTACTTGACATATTAGCTACAAACAGAGCAGCAAAGCAACTTATCACAGTCACACATCTACATGCAGCTAAAGAACAGAATCAGGTAGGAACCCACTTCTGTCTGTTCTAATCAGTCATGGAGTCCTTGTGCCTGCTTCTCCTCAGCATCTCTGCTGTCAGTCCTCCTGGTGTTCTGGCACACCTCACTGAGTGACAGGCAGTCAGCCCAGTCCAGTTCTGGTCCTAGAAGGTCAGCTCTAGTTCTGTCGAGCTGAACCCTGCCTCCTCTAGCTATGCAACATGTTCTGGGAAGAAATGGGAACCACACAAAGACAGCAGAGTTTCTCACCCATCCCACACTGCAGAGGAAGCACCCTCGGAGAAGTCAGAATGGTCCATGTAGGAGTTCAGAGGGGGCAGGAATCAGGTCCTCACAGGGAGAGGTGAGTGCCACCTGCTTACCATAGCCATTGTCCAGGAAGTCAGTGATGAAGCGGGCACTGCAGGGGGACCAGGGCTCCTCAGGATCCACGTGAGCCATGACAGGGGCCATGACGTGGCGGGAGGTGCTCCCAGGCCCGTTCAAACTGCCACACGGCTTGGAGTTGTCATGGAGCATGTTGAAGACATGGCCTGCAAAGGCAGAGGCCCCACTAGGGTCTCAGTCCTTCCTTCCCTGTGCCCTCAGGGGCCTCGGTCATAAACCTGACTGCGCTGTGGATGTCAGATCCCTTCCCCATGCGCCCTGCCCCCAGTCCCCTTCAGGTGTTCTCAGGGCTCCTCACTATGTAGCCCCTGTTTCTCTGTCTCCCCTTCCTCGGAATACACTCAGGGCCCTTCCTGCCCACCTACCCACTTCTCCTTGTAGCCAACGTTCCCACACGTGAACTCACCCATTCTCTCCCTGGCTCCCCCTCCAAACACACGCACACACGCACACACGTACACACACACGTCACGGTAGGCTTCTACACACTACCTTCTTTAATAGGAAAATCTAAGTGTTTGTCTACACTCAGAGCAGAGAGGGGTAATGGCCTGGGGAGGAGGAAGAAACACCTGGGAGCCCCCATTAACACCCTGATGAGCTCATTCTCTGCTCCCTTCACTCCCGACACCTTTCTCATTCTCTCAGGGTGCCCCCCAACACCTTACCCAGCTCATGGGCAGCAGTGAAGGCTGACTGGAGCCCGTCGTCTTCCACGATAGCACAGCTCCGAGCCGGATCACACACGGTGCCCACATCAGCCATACCCAGAGTGTCACAAGTGGAGACCCCACAAAGGTCCTGTGGAGAGGGATCGGAGGAAATGCATGGGGAGCCCAGACACCCGGGCCCATGGGATGAGGTCGGGATTCAGGGACCTGGGCACTAAGCACCCAGTGCTGTCTGGGCTCTGGTGGCCACACACATCAGTGTAGCTGGGGCCAGGCACCATGTGACACAACTCCAGGGCACCATCATGGTCTGTGTAGTGGTGCTTCATGGAACTGTGCAGTGCACGGCCTACAGGCCTGGCTGGGGCCTCACCTGACGGGTAAACAGGATGGCTGTATCGAAGTGGTCAGGGTCCGAGTCCTCAGCGGTGTTGAGGCCCCGCTGCCAGGCACAGAAGCTGCGCAAGGTCTGGGCAGCACTCGGCCCCACCTGGGGCCCCTCCTCGCCTGACCCCAGGATCACCAGCCGGGTCACCACCAAGCTGACAGGGTTGCGGATGCTTGGGTGCTTGAATGCCTTGGCTGCTGCTGCCATCACTGTCAGCAGGTAGCGTTTTAGCCCTGCACCGTGAAATGCTGCCATCTTGTCATCTGCCACCACCAGCGTCTCCACAAACCTACTCAGTGAAGCAAAGCGCTGGAGAGAGAAAGGGAGAGGAGGATCCTGAAACAGTCTCCCAGACCCATGGATGACTCCCCACCCCGCTTCTTGGGTCTGGAGCTCAGCAGAGTCAGCTGGGCCCCACATACCCCACAGGATTCCTGACAGTCTTGGTTGGGTCCTTTCCCCACCCCCAAATCCCAGGGCTTTTGTGGTAACTCCAAGGAATCAGCAGTCCGTTCTGAGAAGGGGTGGGGAAGGGGACGCCTCCATGTCTTGGGGCCGCACAGGCCCCAGAGGTGAAGGCGGCCTGGACTGCCCTAGGGAGGGCCTTCGGGGTCCCCCAGGCCTACATGTGGCTGGGGCCTGCGGGAACAGCGCTAAGAGGGCAGGGCTGCAACGTGTCTGCCCTGTGTGGTTGGAGGAACGATTGATTCAGTCAGCAGCTAGGGCCCGGTCCAGAGCTCAGCGTGGCGGGTGTGGAGAGAGCGTCTGGTCTGGATTAAAGCTGGTGAGGGAGGAGGGAGGAAGGAAGGGAGGAAGAGGGAGACAGGAGTGGGAGGGAGGAAAGGATGGAGCCTCAGGCAGCCTCGCAGTGAGTCCGCAGTGTGGGAAAGGGACTGACCAGAGGGAGGTATGGGACGCCTTCCCGCCCCTGCCCACTCCTGCCCTAGTTTGCAGCTTGCCAGGACGGTTTTAAAGGCAGCATCAGAAGCCAGAGGCCAATTCCTTGGGTCTCAAACCTCACTCCTTTAGGGGCGGACAGTGAAAATCAAAGTTGGGGCAGAGAAAAGAGCCAAGGCCAAGGGGCTGTTAGGAGAGCTTTAATCCTGGGGACTGAGCCAGTAGGGGATGCAATGGCCAGGCAGGGGCGGGGTGGGGAGGGGAGCAGGCATTCCTAGCCTAGAGTCTCTGACCCACCTCCGGGAACACTAGCTGGGAGGGGAGGGAGGAGGGGAGAGGCCAGCGCCTTCCCAAGAAAGAGAGAAGAGAGGAAAGGCCGCAGAAGGGAGTGGAGAGGAAAGGCAAGCAGGAGGGAGGGAAGGAGCATGGCCAGAAGTGGAAGTGGGTGGAGAGAGGGTGAATAGGGGTCAGTGGGACAGACATGGCGGGAGGACGCGGCAGGACACAGGGTCCAGGACTGCCTACCTTGGCTCTTCGGGGTCTGGGGCTGGGGCTCTCGAGAGGAGCCTTGACGTTGCACATGGGACCCTGGCTGCTGGCAGGACTCTTCCGGCGCAGGATGTGAGCCCCAGGCCCCCCGGCCGAGTTAGGGGTGCCCCCCTCCAGGGGCTGGAGGTGGAGCTCGGCCCCCCGATACTGCAACACCCCTAGTAGGGCTCCCCCGTCCCAGTGCAGAGAAGCCACCGACTCCGGATCTCCATTGATGGTGCCAGTCAGGTAGGTGCCCGGCTCTGCCCCGCCCAGCAGCTCAGGTGCCTGGCCGAGGTACTGCACCGTCAGCCCCTCCACCTGCACGCCGGGGTCCTGCTCCAGCTCAAGCAGCAGCATCTCCCCAAAGGCTGGCAAGCGGTACGACAGCCTGGTCGGGGCACCCGAGCCGGGCAGGACGCTGCTGTTGAGCTTCTCTGGAAACACCACCTCCTCCTCCCGGGGGAGGGGGCTGGCCGGCCGGGCTGAGGGCAGGAGGGATGCCAGCAGCAGCAGCAGCAGCCACGCCAGCCTGGAGAGGGGCGCAGTGGGGAGAAGCAGGCAGGGTGGGACTCCCCACAGCCAGCGCCCCGCCGAGCCCCTCCGGGGACGCGAGCCCGTCCGGGCCATGGCACTGGTGCTGCAGCTGGGAGGGACTGAGGCCGTCTGGGGCACCAAGTCCTCCACACCCTAGCTTTGGAAAGCTCCTCTCTGTAGCCTGGGGGCTTGGCCTCCTGCCAAGGTCAGAGGCACAGTTTTCAGAAGGGCTGGGAGGAGATGGAGAAAACTTAGCCCTCGGGCTCAGGAGAGGTGCCCAGGGGTCTGGCTCCTCCAAACTCTGCTCCTGCGTCCTCCCCTCCTGGAGCTCTGTGGTTAGCTCCCTGCCCGTGTCTTCCGCAGTTTCTCTGGCCTCTCCCTCTGCACGGCTCTGTCTGGGCCGCTGCTGTGTCTGCCCTGTCTCTGCCTTCTTCCGCTGTGCCTTTGTCTCTGTTTCTTTGCTCCTCTTTCTCCCTCTTGTCTATGTGTCTGTGGGTCTCCCCGTGGGTTCTCCCAGCCTCTCTCCGCGCCAGCTCTTTTAAGCATCCATCCCAAGCTCTTGCGATTGGCTGATCTCTAAGCCACTCAGCCAGAGCTCTGTCGACGGGACTCAGATGGGTGTATCACTGCTTCCCAAAATCCTAGTTTTTGTTTTCCTTTTTTTAAAAAATGGGACTTGCCCAGGGGAGGGGAATCTCTAGCAGCCGGATGGATTATAGGCACTGGGCCAGTTGATGACATAGCCTTTTCCCAAACCCCACAATCAGCCCTCAGCTGTCTCTTTCCCTTTTTGGTGGGACAGAGCCCCAGGAGAGGCAGGGAGTCAGGGAAAGGGCCTGGCCAGCACGCACAGACAGAATCACGGTCCCAGGAGAATTCCTACTCTTGTAGTTTGACCTGGCATGGCCTCCCCGTTCTCAAGTGTCCTTGGGCCCTAGTGGCTGGTTTCCAGGGCTTATGGGACTGAGTGAGCTGCCTGGGGAAAGGGTGGAGGACAGGTAAGGAAGCCTCAAGGAGAATGAACAAAGAAAGCAGTGGCTTGTCAGAGCTCAGGATGGAACCCAGCAGCTGGAGAGAGCAGAGGAGGCAGAGAGATGGGGGGAGGGCAAGGAGAGAGTGATTGGGGGTTTACTGCCCACAAGCAGGAGACTCTGCCTTGAAGGAATATGGAGGAGGCCGACCACAAGGCAGGAGGGGCTAACGACTTTTCCTCTTCTAGAAGGAAGGGGGGGTGGCACCTCTTCTCTAAGTCCCTTTGCTCCCCCAGGCTCCCCCCTCCTGAATCACCACTACCCACCCCCTCCAAAGCCCAGAACAGCCATTCCGCCCCCATTTCCCCCCAGGCTTCCCCCTCCCCACTTCCTGGCTCCCCATTTCTCTGGCCCGGCTCCCAGTAGCTTCCCCCAGGCTCTTGGCCCTGCTCCTACCCACTTCCAACTACCCTAAACCCTCCCCCAGCCTCAAGTCAGCCAGTCCCCAGCACAGGCAAGACTTGCTCCCTCAGGAACCCAGATGTATCCAGTGCCAATCTGGGGGAATCCCCACCTGGCTCCCCGCTCTGGCCCCACCTTGCCTTGAGAACCCAATCGTTCCTGGAATATCTGGTGATTTTTATTTCTCATTCTCTGCGGGGGCAGGGAGGGGAGGAGAAGGCATTGTGCAGGAAGGGAAATTAGGGGACTGGGAGAAACAGGAACCTAGTGCCTGGGGGAGGAAAAGGTAGTGTTAGGGAGAGGAAGCAAGTGACTCCTCTGGCTTGGATGGGGGCAACTCAGAAAAGAGGTCTTGAGGGGGACCCTCAAGGTACAGAGGAAGTCAGGGCTCAGAAACAGAGGCGCCATCCCATGGCCGTCTTTTCCCCAGGAAATCCCCAGGAAGGAGCGTGCAGTCAGCAGTCCCTTCCCTTTCCCGGGGTGGACCACCTCCCCCCACCCCCATTCCCCTATTCACACTCTGCTTTGTCACCTCCTGTCCCCCACATCATATCCGCCTGAATACTTCCTCCCCCCTCCCTTCCTGCGTCAGGTCACTAGTACCTGCCTTGGTGCCCATTGTGTCCTGCATCACCCGCCCACTCCAGAGGTGACTGTCAGACCCACCTCTGGACCCATCACTTGCTCTGACTCTGGTCCTAAGTGGAGGGGGCTGGGGCTGGTGGAATCAGACCAGAAGAGGCAGGGGCAAGAGGAGCTATCACCAGAGGACTCTATTGCCCCTAGCACTCCCCGTCTGAGATGAGGACAAAGGGGGTGACTAAGCAGTGAGAGACAAAGGGCCTTAGAGTGGCAGCCGCAGTGTGTGGGGGGGCGTTGGCAGCAGGGAGAGGGCACAAAAGCTGCAGTGTCCTAGGCTGCTCCCCAGAAGCCCCTGCCCGGCACCAGCTCAAGCTGTCCCTAGGGCCAAGCAGCCCAGAGTCTACCCTAGCTTGGCTCAGGCTGGATCCAGGCAAATGAACGCAGTCCCTCCCATCCCCTCCACGACTGCCACTTTTGCTGTTTCAACTGTAGGGGGAGATAAGGCCCATGAAAGAGTGGGGAATGAGGCGGGCAGGGAGGCCATGCTTCTGCCCTGACTCTGTGGGGGCTGCCCTGTCTACCCCAGGGCCTGGTCAGTTCCCACAGCCAGCGATCTGGCCCCACCCTTTGGTACGGTTCCCATTAGGTCAATTCCCAGGCTAGAAGTCTGGCTTTCCCCCTCGTTCTCTGCCGCGAAGAATTCCCTGTCTCAGCCACTCCCTGGGTCTGTCTGCCCCTCCCCGCCGCGCTGCTGGTGGGCTGCATCCCAGGGATACTGTCTAGGAAGATCTGGGGAAGGCTTTTTTCCAGGTTCAGGGTGGGAATCGTACAAGCTTCACGGGTGGGTGGCCCAGTTGAAGAGAACGAGAACTAGCCCCCGAGACTGGAAAAGCCTTTGTCCAGAGTTGGGATTAGACTCCTGGAATTACATTTCCACGCTGTTGGCCGAGGAGGGCTGCGGCAGGGTCAGAAAAACGTGAGAAAAGAGTCTGACGCAGGACGGAAGTGGGTTATGAGCCATCTCTTGGGGGCGCTTCCCGGGCCTGTGATTCTGTAGGTTCGGGAAGCCCGGCGGACATCGGGGTCACCCGCAGAGGGCCTCCCCTCCCCCAACTGGGATGAGACGGCTCCTGCTCCCCGACGCCCCCTCCGCACCAGCAATGCCGGTGGCCTTGGCGTCCCATTCTGTTTTGTTTGGGTTTGGCGGGAGCTCTCAGACCCGCCCAGCCCCCTCGCGGGCCCCCTGTCCCAATCCCGATGCGGGACATCTGGAAGTTAGCTGGCTTTCCTGGCTCTGAATCTTTCGGATTCAGTGATGGGAAGGTACTTGGCAAAGCGTGGGGCTGCCCCAGAAGGGCAGGTCTCAGGCACAGTCCGAACAGGACGCCCGCAGGAGGGCGGCCAAGGCGGGAGGGCGTCGGGAGGGCTCCCCGCGCGAGCTTCCAGGTTCGCAGGCGGGCTCGGCGAAGGGACGCGAGCACGTCGAGCTTGCCCCTGGCAGGAGTAGCGACTACAGAGCGCTCGCGCCCAGAAAAGCCGGCCAGGAGCCGCGGAAGGAACTGCCCGCAGTAAAGATGGCGGCTGTCACCGTTATTGAGGGGCAAGTGAAGCCGAGGCACGGAACCCGGATGTTGTCAGGGTCGCGTTTGACGATCCTGCCGGCCTCCAAGAGGGCGGCTTCGTCGCGAGAAGCCCACCAGGAGGCGCGCGGGAGCCATTTCCGCCCGGTTCTCCTTCCCGCCGCCTGCAGCCGGGGCAAGATGGCGGCGCTGAGGGCTCTGTGCAGCCTCCGGGGCGTCGCGGCCCAGGTGCCGCGACCGGGGGCTGGGGTCCTACTGCAGATTCAGCCCAGCAGGTGAGACCGAGTGCCGCCCTCGAGGCGCCTTTCCCACGGCTAGGGCTTCTCAGACCTGGGGACACTCCATGGGCCCCGTGACCCCCTAGGAAAGAATGACCCAGGCCTGTGACCCCTGTGCTCCGGGATGCGGTGACGCCCACTCTGGCAGAGGGAGGGAGAAGGGGCTTGAGCTCGTTCGGCCAGAGGTGCAATCAGTGGAGTGGGGACCCTCCCCCTTCACCTTGCAAGGGCACCTCTTGGCATCCTGAGCAGAGCTCCGCCGAGGAGCCGTAATGCCCACTCCCGCTCCATAGCCCCTGGATGGGAATATGATGACAATGTGAAGAGCAAGCTGCATGCACGAGGGTGATGGGTGACGTGACTCCAGGAATAAGTTGTTAGTGGGAATGGAACCGCTGGAGTTCCAGCTTGTTTACTCTGTGTCAGAGACTTGGCACTGAGGAATCCAGACACCCTTCCCTGGTCTCACTCGAGAGTGAAGGGGAACAGAGGAACCAGACACTGTCTGGCATCTGTCTCTAATTCCCCAGAGGTGCTCGGCAGTGGCAGCCAGATGTGGAATGGGCAGAGCAGTTTGCGGGAGCTGTCATGTACCCAACCAAGGAAACAGCCCACTGGAAACCTCCACCCTGGAATGGTGAGTGACCAGAGTTGCTGTCTCAACTCACATCCATCCTAAGCTGAATTTTTGAGTTGGGGTCTCACTCTTGCTCACCACAGCCTCGAACTCCTGGGCTCAAGCCATCCTCCTTCCCCAGCCTCCTGAGTAGCTGGGACTACAGGCACGCACCACCACATCCAGCTAATTGTTTGGCTTCCTTTTTTTTTAGTATTTTATAGAGACGAGGTCTTGCTGTGTTGCCTAGGCAGGTCTCAAATTTCTGGACTCAAGTGACCCTGCAACTTCAGCGTTTGACGATCCAAAGTGCTGGAATTACAGGCATGAGCCACTGCACTCAACTCCTGCAAGCTAATTTTTAAGTGCTCTTGAGCTCTCAGTCTTAGGGAAGTTTTTACCTCTACCCTGTTTGCTTCTTTAACCATGCAGTTCAACAAACATAATGATAGTGACAATAACAAATATTTGTCATGTATAGAAGGAAAAGATGTTCCAGAAGAAAAGATAGAGTAGGTCACAGTCAATATCCAAAGATTCCTACCAATTCAGCTTTTTCCAGGTTCAGTACTCTGGACAGTGTGGTTTTCCCATTGGTACCCAAATGAAACCTATCTGAATACAAATCATTTTTTTTCCCATCAAAGCTAGCTCATAAGCCAAGCTCGGTGGCTCAGCCTATAATCCTGCGCTTTGGGAGGCCGATGTGAGTGGATTGCCTGAGCCCGCGAGTTCGAGACCCGCCTGGGCAACTTGGTGAGACCTCATCTCTACAATTTAAAAAAAAAAAAAATTAGCTGGGCATGGTAGCACATGCCTGTAGGTCCAGCTACTTGGAAGGCTGAGGCGGAAGGATCGCCGGAGCCCCGCAGGTCAAGGCTGCGGTGGCCGGGAGCGTGCCACTGTCCAGTCTGGGCGACAGAGTGAGACTCCAACACAAAAAAAAAAAAAAAAAAAAAGCTAGCTCTTCTGTTTGACTTTGTATTTTGATCATTGGCACCCTCATTCTCCTGATCCCTCAGGATTGAAGCGTTTTAGCTATCTTTGACTCTTTTCTCTCTTGCCTTGATTCTTTCATGCTCCATATCTGGTCCTCTCCTCCACTTTTTTTTTTCCCCAGACTGGAGTGCAGTGGCATGCTCAAGGTAGCCTCGACCTGCTGGGCTCAGGTGATCCTTCCACCTCAGCCTTCAAGTAGCTGGAACTAGAGGCATACACCACCATGCCCAGCTAATTTTTTAATTTATTGTAGAGATGAGATCTTGCCAAGTTTCCCAGGCTGGTCTTGATCTCATGCTCAGGCAATCCTCTCACCTTGGCCTCCCAAAGTGCTGGGATTATAGGTGTGAGCCATCGTGCCTGGCCTCTCCCCTTTTTATATTGGAGTCTCACTCTGTCACCCAGGCTGGAATGCAGTGGCATGCTCATGGCCACTGCAGCCTCTATCTGCTGGGCTCAGGCGATCCTTCTGCCTTGGCCTTCCAAGTAACTGGAACTATAGGTGCTCCACCACACCCAGCTAATTTTTTTTTTTAATTGTAGAGACAAGATCTGGCTAGGTTGCCCAGGCTGGTCTTGAACCCTGGACTCAGGCAATCCTCTTGCCTCCAATTCCGAAAGTGCTAGGATTACAGGCATGAGCCACTATGCCCGGCTCCTTTTGATTTTCATTGCCATCACTTTTGTTCAGATTTATCTTGTATCAGATCTTGATCATTTCAGGAGTCTGTTCACTGAGTTTCTACCACTCTTCTTATCTCCTTACTCTCAAGAAGCTTATACTTTTAGTCAGAGCCTCAGCGTGGGTGACGGAGTGAGAGTTTCTACCACTGATCTTGTCTCCTTTCCAGCTGTCTTGTACAGTATCATCATATTCCCCAAATATACTTTTACCATGACATTCATTTCTTGCTCAGAAACCTTCCACAACACTTCCAGATTCATTTTAAAAATTTATGGTCACAGTAGCTGAATACTTGCCATTTTCTAAGCATTTCGTGTGCATTATTTTATTTAATCCTTACAACAGCTCTAGGAGAGCATTATCCCAGTTATGAGGAAATTATGATGAAGGGAGGAGATTAAAACTTGATCAAAGACACACAGGCAGATTTTTACTTGAGTACTTCTGACTCCAAAGCCTGTGGTGAAGAATTCTGATTTGCTTCTTGGGAAGTCTTGATAAGAGTTCCACAGATATTTACTTCCTTGTTCTAAGATTTGACCTGTGTTGATTTCATAGCCTGGAATGCCTCTTCCTCCCTCTACCTATCAAAATCATTTCCTATATTTAAAAACCAAGGCATGAGCCAGGCTCGGTGGCTCAGCCTGTAATCCCGCGCCTTTGGGAGGCTGAGGTGAGTGGATTGCCTGAGCCCGCGGGTTCGAGACCCGCCTGGGCAGCGAGACCTCATCTCTACAATAAATCAAAAAATCAGCCGGGCGTGGTAGCGTGCGCCTGTAATTCCGGCTACTTGGAAGGCTGAGGCGGAAGGATCGCCGGAGCCCAGCAGGCGAGGCTGCAGTGGCCGGGAGCGGCCACTTCACTCCAGTCTGGGTGACAGAGTGAGACTCCAACTCAAAAAAAAATAAAAAATAAAAAATAAAAACCAAGGCATGGTGGCTCATGCCTATAATCCCAGCACTTTGGGAGGCCAAGGCAAGAGGATTGCTTGAGGCCAGGAGTTTGAGACCAGCCAAAGCAACATAAGTGAGACCTAATTTTTACAAAAAATTAACCAGGCATGATAGCGTGTGCCTGTAGTCCCAACTACTCCGGAGGCTGAGGCAGGAGGATCTCTTGAGCCTGGGAATTCAAGGCTGCAATGAGCATTGATTGTGTGCCACAGCACTCCAGCCTGGGTTACACAGTAAGACTCTGTCCAAAAAAAAAAAAAAAAAACCTGCTCAGAGCCTACTACATGAAGTCTTGACGGTGTTCTTTAGTTCCTTTAAATACTTAATGGCAGCTCAGCTTAGCCACTTACTTGGAAACTTACAAATTTTACCTGTGTTACTAGTGTTTCACAGGTAGTTATTTCCCAAATTAAAGGATAAGCTTCTTTGCTGGGCCTGGTGGCTCGCACCTATAATCCCAGCACTTTGGGAGACCGAGGTGGGTGAATTGCTTGAGCCCAGCCTGAGCAACATGGTGAGACCTCGTCTCTACAGTAAATAAAAAAATTGACTGGGCATTGTGGCATGCACCTGTAGTTCCAGCTACTTGAAAGGTGGAGGTAGAAGGATCGCCTGAACCCAGTAGGATAAGGCTGTGGTACCTGTGACTGTGCCACTGCTCTCCAACCTGGGTGACAGAGTGAGACTCTGACTAAAAGTATAAGCTTCACTGAGCTCGGTGGCTCAGCCTGTAATCCCAGTGCTTTGGGAGGCCGAGGTGAATGGATTGCCTGAAGCTCGCGGGTTCGAGACCCTCCTGGGCAACTTGGCGAGACCTCATTTCTACAATAAATAAAAAATTAGCTGCACATGGTAGCACGTGCCTGTAGTTCCAGCTACTTGAAAGGCTGAGGCGGAAGAATCATCGGAGCCCAGCAGGTCGAGGCTGCAGTGGCCGGGAGCGTGCCACTGCACTCCAGTCTGGGTGATGGAGTGAGACTCCAACTGAAAAAATAAATAAACAAATAAGCTTCTTGACAGTAAAAACTGTCATTGAGTAGGAGTAGCATTAGGTATACACTTCCTGATTGGCCATTCATTGGATATATTTGGAGGGCAGTATACATAATTACAGGTGTGTGAATCCTATATGAACAAGCTGAGTTTAAATTCCAGTTCTGCCGCTTACTAGCTTTGTGATCCTGGAGAAGTCACTGAAACTCTATGGCCTAAGTTTCTCCAATAAAATGGAGACATAGTAGCACTCATTACTCATACGGTTGTTGTAAGAATTAAATCAATTAAAATAAGTAAAGTGTATCAAGTAGTGCCTGGCACATAAGAAGGCAATATAAATGTTATCTGTCATTATTATTTTTAAAATGTTATTTGCACACTAAGAAACATGATAAAAATGGGCTGGATGTGGTGGCTCACATCTGTAATCCCAATACTTTGGAAAACAGAGGTGAGAGGATTGTCTGAGCTCAGGGGTTCAAGACCAGCCTGGACAACATGGTGAAACCTTATCTCTACAATAAAGCAAAAAATTAGCCGGGCGTGGTGGTGTGTGCCTGCAGTTCTAGCTACTTGGAAGGGTGAGGAGGAATGATGACCTGAGTCTAGTAGGTCAAGGCTGCGGAGGCCATGAGCATGCAACTACACTCCAACCTGGGTTGCAGAGTGAGGCTCTGACTCAAAAAAAAGAAAAAAAAAAGAAATAAAAAGTATTCCTTTTTTTTGAGTTGGAGTCTCACTGTCTTCCAGACTGGAGTACAGTGGACGCTCCCGGCCACCGCAGCCTCGACCTGCTGAGCTCCAGCTATCCTTCCGCCTCAGCCTTCCAAGTAGCTGGAACTACAGGCATGCGCTACCACGCCCGGCTAGTTTTTTGATTTATTGTAGAGATGAGGTCTCGCCAAGTTGCCCAGGCGAATCTCGAACCCGTGGGCTCAGGCAATCCACTCACCTCAGCTTCCCGAGGCACGGGATTACAGGCTGAGCCACCGAGCCCGGCTTAAAAAGTTATTCTAGAAGGCATGGAAAGAGTGAGATTCATGGTCCCTCTCATCAGAAAGTTTTTCTCTCCCTTCCCTTTTCCCCATCTCTCTGTCCTCTTCCGAGTTATGTTGGCAATTAGGAAATTAACAAGGTGTGGAATGGTGACATGGAGGATCTGTAGGGAGAGGCTGACTCCTTGAGGGCTCCTAAGGGAATTACCATTTGGCTCTGAACTTTTTCCCACTTCCCAGATGTGGACCCTCCAAAGGATAAAATTGTGTCAAATCTGACACTGAACTTTGGGCCTCAGCACCCAGCAGCCCATGGAGTCCTGCGACTTGTGATGGAATTGAGTGGGGAGATGGTACGGAAGTGTGACCCTCACATTGGGCTCCTGCACCGAGGCACAGAGAAGCTCATCGAATACAAGACCTATCTGCAGGTGGGGGTATCTAGGGAGGCATTCACCTGGGACTTTGCCAGTTAGAACCTCAGGGGAGGAATGTATTGGGGAGTGAAGTTACTGGGACGTCTTGGTTGAAAGGATGGAGGGGGCAGCCATGGATGCTTGGGCCTTCTGGATTTGGTTTATTCAGCAGCAACACTTCAGAGCTGGACCTACAGCCCCAGCTTTTCTCGGGCTGACTTTTGGCTTGCCCCTTTACCTTTACTCTAGTGTCTCAGTTTCTCTGTTCTTACATTAGTGCGTCAAAGTCGTGTCCTTAGGGGCAGGGAAAGAGGAGAGACGTCAGCTCTCCAGGATTAACAGCTGATTCTTGTATGTTCCAGCTGTCTTCATTTGTTTTCAAAACACTCAGTGAGTCAGAGTGACCGGGAAGTGGTTTGTGACAGAGTTTACGTTTTTAGGAAAACTGGCCCAAATAGTAAGGGTCAGATTTGAAGGAGTTGGATCTGGGATGGGAAGCTGAAGGTTTTTCTTACTGCCATGAAGAAAGGTCCCAATAACAGAGGGTGCTGGTGTTAGGACTAGATCCAGGCCATTGTTGGGGTGAACAGTGACTAGAATGTAATTTCCCTGGAGAGTCCAGGCCATGATGACTTCTGGTTCAAGAGTCCGTGGACTTATCCTGTAGTGTTTTCCCATGTCATAATGACATAAGGACAAGAACTGGCTGTTCCAAAGAGGGGCATCTTAGCTCCGCCTTTTTCTTGGAAGCTGCAGCTGATTCAGCCGACAACTAGAACTTAGCTTTCTTGGCATTCTGGGGGAAGGACCGTTTCTTTATTTTTTTTTCATTTTTAAAATTTTTATAGAGATGGGGTCTTGCTCTGCCACCCTGACTGGTCTCCAAATTTCTGGCTTTAACCAATTCTCCCATGTCAGTCTCCCAAAGTGCTGGGATTATAGGCATGAGCCACTGTGCCCAGCTGGAAGGACCATTTCTACTTGGTGCTCTGTCTTCTTTAAATAACTCACTCTCAGTCACTTCTAAGACTGATTACTTTACTCCTTCAATATTTCAGTTTTTTAGCTGAATGTGGTGGCTCCCTTGTGAGACTGAGTGAGGTGGGAGGATCCCTCGAACTCAGGAGTTTTGGGCTGCAGTGAGCTATGATTCTGCACTCCAGCCTGAGTGACAGAACAGAGACTTTGTTTCGAATAAACAAATAAGTGAAATCTCAGTCTTAAGAGGTAAGGGAGGCTTAGTAGTTCCAAGCTTTCTTCTTTGACAAGGTGGCACTTGACAGTGGGGCTACTGACAGGGGTACACTGGAGCTGTCCTGGCTGGCAAGAGCTCAGGCCTTCTTGAGACTTTTGTTAAGTACAGCCATTATTGAAAATTAAGTTACATAAGCTTATGATTTAATGCATTATATTAAAATCAAAGGTGAGATTGAATACTCAAAACTCATTGCTTTCTTTTTTTGCCACATTTTACTGTGCTGTGCCCTTGAGGGGTTTTCTTTGATTGTTTCTGTATGGTGGAAATGTGTGTAGTGGTGTGTTACTCTTCCCAATGTTGCATTCAGTTAGTAGTATTGGTAGCTTAAAATGGACCATGGTGGGAGCCTTTTTGCGTGGAAGTTGGCAAACATGACAAATCAAGGTCCTCTCCCCCTTTGGAAAGCCAGTCCTTTGGCATTTACCAGCACACTGCTGATTGCTAGATACTTCACCCTGCCATGCTGGGGCTCCTGAGACTAGAAAGGCATGTGCAGCCCAGCTTCTGATGCCCCCTAAGAGATAGGCTTCTGGCAGCCCGTCTGTGGGCTCTGGGGCCTATTGATGTGACCCAGCGTCCTCCCTCTTCCTAGGCCCTTCCATACTTTGACCGGCTAGACTACGTGTCCATGATGTGTAACGAGCAGGCCTACGCACTGGCTGTGGAGAAGTTACTGAACATCCAGCCCCCTCCCCGGGCACAGTGGATCCGAGGTGTGCCCCCTCCTTCCTGCAGCCTACTGAAAGCAGAGCACACTGCCTCTCTCACTCCTTCCCCACCTTGGAAACACTGCCCCCAAGCTTAGTGTTCAGACCCCTAGCCCTGCCCAGACCGTCAGCCTGGCTCCTTGACACCTGTGTCCTCCTCTTCACCTCTCCACAGTGCTGTTTGGAGAAATCACACGACTTTTGAACCACATCATGGCTGTGACCACACATGCCCTGGACATCGGGGCCATGACGCCTTTCTTCTGGATGTTTGAGGAAAGGGAGAAGGTATAAGAAGGAGGAAAGGATGGGATTGGGGAAGGAAGTTCAGGAAGTAGAGAAGATGTGAAGGCCACAAGGAATAAAGAGAACATGAGAGAACAGCAAGGGAGGAATATTTAACTCGGGTGGGGTTAATAGGAACTGTCATAAGGGGTTTGTTGGGCATAAGAAGGCAGAGGGGAGTGGAGGGGGCCACTGTGCTTTCGTCATGGGGGCCTGGGTCTTTGCCACTAATTTCATGTGTCCTGTAAAGATGTTTGAGTTCTACGAGCGAGTGTCTGGAGCCCGAATGCATGCTGCATATGTCCGGCCAGGAGGCGTGCACCAGGTGAGTGGGTCCCCTGCTTCCCTGAACACCCAGGCCAGGCCTGTTTCCTCGGTGGCCACTGGAGGGCAGTGCTGGCTGATGGAAAGCTGCAGCCCTGAGGGAGGGGTTGCTGAGCCCACTGTCCTTGGCAGAGGTTCTGCTATCCTCAATGTCACCTCCATTGGCTTCTAGGACCTGCCCCTCGGGCTCATGGATGACATTTATGAGTTTTCTAAGAACTTCTCTCTTCGGATTGATGAGGTAGAGGAGGTAAGACAGGATTCAATGGGAAAACCTCTCTTTTTCCCTGAGAAGGGCTTGTAGGATTTTAGTCCCCGGTTGTGAGTAATATGGAGGTACTAGGGGAACATTATAAGGAGTATGAGCACAGTGTTCTCCTGATCAATAGATGCTGACCAACAATAGGATCTGGCGGAATCGGACTGTCGACATTGGGGTGGTAACGGCAGAAGATGCACTGAACTATGGTTTCAGGTGGGTGGACACAACTTCTGTCTTGGGAGTAGGAGGGGGGTGTCCAGCCTCGTGCCTTGGCTGTTAAGAATGTCTGGCACCCTGGCCATCCCTGCATGAAGGAGAGAAGGGGAGACTGAGGAAGAATGTGCCTCCCTCCTGGGTTTGTGGAAAGTGGCCCTTGTCCCCCTTGTGCTCTCTACAGTGGCGTGATGCTCCGGGGCTCAGGCATTCAGTGGGATCTGCGCAAGACCCAGCCCTATGATGTTTACGACCAGGTCGAGTTTGATGTTCCTATCGGCTCTCGAGGGGACTGCTATGACAGGTGAGGCCTCATCCCTCCCTCGGCTCATGTCCGGCTGGTGTCCTCGGCTCGCTTTCCTCTTTGCCACTTTCCTCTTCACCTTTCTTCCCAGTGTTCATGGGGCTCTTGTGTGTGATGAGCTAGCTTGCTTTCAAAGCACTTTTGCATATGTGGCGTCTTGTTTTGGCCTTACATTAGAGCTAGCGCTGGCTGCATGTTTTTTTTTTTTGAGTTGGAGTCTCACTCTGTTGCCCAGGCTAGAGTGCAGTGGCCTGCTCATGGCCACTGCAATCTCATCCTGCTGGGCTCAGGCGATCCTTCAGTTTCAGCCTTCCAAGTAGCTGGAACTACAGGCACGCGCTACCATGCCCGGCTAATTTTTTGATTTATTGTAGAGATGAGGTCTCGCCATGTTGCCCAGGCTGCTCTCTTACTCCTGGGCTTAGGATCCTCTTGCCTTGGCCTCCCAAAGTGCTGGGATTACAGGCTTGAGCCACCATGCCCAGCTGCTGGCTGCATTTTATAGCTGAGAAAGCTGAAGCGTAAGATTAGGGACTCCCTGGGATTATTCTGTCAGTAGTGGTTGAGACTGGAATCTTTCTGATCCAGTGCTTTCTCTACTAGATTCTAAGTTTCAAGTTCACTTCTGTTTACTGACCCCAAGTCAGATTTGCTACTGTTTTTGTTTGTTAGTCCTTTTGACTGTCATCCATTCTGTAGTTCAGAAAGTGTCTAAGAGGGTAATTAGTGAGGGAAACACTACAGGCCATGACCTGAGAAAATAAAGAGAGGGTTTGGGGAAGGACCCAATAGTAAAACCAAACACTAGTGGGTTTATATGGGTCGACTGGCCAAGCAGAGATGCCATTCTATGAGAAAAGAATGAAGAAAGTTTACTGAACTCCATTTTTTGGGGGTGGGTCTCACTGTTGCCCAGTGGCACAATCATGGCTCCCTGATGCCTTGACTTCCTGGGCTTAGGTAATCATTTTACCTCAGCCTCCTGAGTAGTTGGGACTATAGGGACATGCCACCAAGCCCAACTAATTTTTTAAAAATTTATTTTATTGAAGATGTGGGGTACAATTCAGAATTCAATATACAAGTGGTCATCGTATAAGTAGTTTGGGCCTACTTTTGGTCCCCACTTTCCCTGGCTTGAGATCCAGCTAATTTTTAAATTTTTTATTTTTTTTGAGTTGGAATCTCACTCCGTCACCCAGACTGGAGTGCAGTGGCCGCTCCCGGCCACCACAGCCTCGACCTGCTGGGCTCCGGCAATCCTTCCGCCTCAGCCATCCAAGTAGCTGGAACTACAGGCGCGCGCTACCACGCCCAGCTAATTTTTTTTTTATTTATTGTAGAAATGAGGTCTTGCCAAGTTGCCCAGGCGGGTCTCGAACCCGCGGGCTCAGGCAACTCACTCACCTCGGCCTCCCAAGGCGCAGGATTACAGGCTGAGCCACCGAGCCCGATTTAAATTTTTTTATAGAGATGAAGTCTCACTGTGTTGCCCAAGCTAGTCTCAAACTCCTGGGCTCAAGCAGCCCTCTTGCCTTGGCCTCCAAAGTGCTGGGATCACAGGCATGAGTCACCATACTCGGCCAGTTTGCCTAATGGGCATCCTTCCCAGCCCATTCCTGCTCCTCTGACTGTTCTTCTTTTGCTCTGCCTTACCTACTCAGGTACCTGTGTCGGGTGGAGGAGATGCGCCAGTCCCTCCGGATCATCGCCCAGTGTCTAAACAAGATGCCTCCTGGGGAGATCAAGGTCGATGACGCCAAAGTGTCCCCGCCTAAGCGAGCAGAGATGAAGGTTGGCTGCAGGGAGAGGGAGGCAGGGGCGGGATGGGCCGTGGCCCGGAAGCAGCCCTGGGTGAAATCCTGCCTTTCACTGTTCCCTTCTCAAAGAGTTTGCTGTACGAGATGCTTAACCTCCATAGCTGCTTCTCCTGTATCCTCTCTGCTTCTGGCTTTCCTGTGGGCGTACTCCTAGGGCGGAGTTATTTTCTGTGCTGGGGAAGGCCTAGAAGACAGAGTTTGGGTTTGCTGTATTGATGCTCCCTTTTTCCTCTTTGCAGACGTCCATGGAGTCCCTGATCCATCACTTTAAGTTGTACACTGAGGGCTACCAGGTGCCCCCAGGAGCTACATACACTGCCATTGAGGCTCCTAAGGTGAGGACAGGAGAGAAGGAAGGGTAGGTAGCTGGAGATGGTATTCAGCGAAGTACTTGCTCACCAGTCTTCCTTGGACAGGGAGAGTTTGGAGTGTACTTGGTGTCTGATGGCAGCAGTCGCCCTTATCGATGCAAGATCAAGGCTCCTGGTTTTGCTCACCTGGTAAGAGCTAATCCCAGTCATTCTAACTCCAATATGTGTTGACCTTGGTTGAGATTTTTATGCACTCTCCTTTCTTCTCCTCCCACTTTGCAAATCATGCCCAAATGCTGTTGCTATCTGTATTTCCCCAGGCTGGTTTGGACAAGATGTCTAAGGGACACATGTTGGCAGATGTCGTTGCCATCATAGGTATGAGGAACTCAGGTGTTCTGGACAAGGGGCTGTGGGACGCCAACTGGGGACAGAACTGAATGCTTCCTGTTGAGCATAGACTGTTGGTGTGACTGAGGTCCTCAGTCTTCTGAGCACAGTAGTGGGTTCTGGATCTTTGGTGACACCAGTCTTTTCTCTGTCCTCTGACCTCCTAGGTACCCAAGATATTGTGTTTGGAGAAATAGATCGGTGAGCAGGGAGCAGGACTTGCCCGCCCACCTGTCAGCTTCTGCCATGGAGCCTGCCCTCCTTGGGAGCGGGGCTGTGTGTATGTACTCGTCTATGTACATTTGGCCATTGGGCTTTCTGTGCATGTAAGAGAAAAGGAGAAATTATAATAAATTAGCCGCCTTGCGGCCCCTAGGCCCAAACTTCTGATTCTTTCTCAGCACCTCATTGTCTTCACTTTGGTGGGCAATGTCTGCGTACTCTCCGCCCTCCATTTCTCTGCTGCATTCGGTCCTAGTGGTTGCTTCGCTCACCTCCACCCCCTTCTCTGACTCTTGCCCTTTCCACTTCTCCATTCGCCATTTCCTCTTTCTCCTCGGCTCCCCCCGCCCAGACCTCCTCAGTGTCTGTGCAAGTTGATAAACTGCTCAAATCAAGATGGTGAAAAGTTCCAGGTGGGAGGGAAGGGGGCAGTGGGGTCTGAGGGAGTCTTGGGTGGTTTCTTACAGATGTGTGTCTGAAGGGGTGGGGGGGCAGTGAAAGATGGCAGCTGTGGACAGCCTTTCCCAGGCACGAGAGTCTCCTCTTTATGGGTAAGAGGTTGGTCACAAAGGACTGAGGCTTAAGAGCCCAGATCTCCCAGCGCCCTTGGTTGGCCCTTCCGGGAGCCGCCCGGCCTCTAGTGCAGGAAGGGGAAGGGGCCAAAGAGTGGTGGAAGGCGTGGCAGGAAGGGGGGGACTCTGTGGTCAGGGAGCCGCCTGCTGAGCACAGCTGCGCAGTGCCACGAGAGCGTCCAGTTCCCAGCCCAAGATGATTCCAGCAGTGGCTTTGCTGCTACTCCTTGTGGTTGATCGAGCAGGTGAGAGGGTTTGGTGAGAGCCAATATGCTGGCTCCAGGGCGGAGGTCCAGGGCATGTGGACGAGAGCCAAGTCCAGGACAGATGAGGAAGGCCGACAGTGGCCAGAAGGGAATGGGGCTGAGAGATGGGGAGACCCTGAGGCTATTTCCATCCAGCCCCAATCCGGGGCCCTGGAGTCAGTTCCTTCCTTTCTTGTGGCCCTTCTACCTCACTCCAGACTTTTTTCTTTTCAGAAGGCTTGATACCGAGTGTCAGTCTGGCAGGGGAAGGGGATGGTTGTTGGCACGAAGAGTGGGTCTGGGGAGAAGCTCCATTGCCCAGGCTCAGCATTCCCCATGGGCTGGTCTCTAGCTGGTGAAATACGCAAAGCCCCTCCTGGGAAGGTAGGCATCTGTCTTGTGCTTGGGAGTGGGTCAAGGGTAGAAACAGACGTGACTGTTGTTTCTGTGGGTCATTGCTAACACACCATTCTGTAAACAATTGACATGAGGGTGGTCGGCATGAGATGCCCAGTTCCAGAGACCTGAGTGTTGGCTAAGAGTAGGGGCAGAACTGGGAAGGTCCCGGCAGCTCTAAGTCTCCAGTCACTCTAAGAACGCTCACTTTTCATTCTTTTTGGGTGGTCTGTGCTGAAATGGTATCTGGTGTGTGTGTGTGTGTGTGTGTGTGTGTGTGTGTGTGTGTTTGAGTCAGAGTCTCACTGCAGCCTGAACCTCCTGGGTTCAGGTGATCCTTCTGCCTCAGCCTCCCAGGTAGCTGGGACTACAGAGACGAGGTCTTGATATGTTGCCTAGGCTGGTCTCAAACTCCTGGGTTCAAGCAAAGTGCTGAACCCAGCCTCTGTGTGTGTGTGTGTGTGTGTGTGTGTTTTGAAGAGGGTTGGTGGCAGCTGGGTGCTGGAAAGGAGGATGTTAGTAAACTTCAGGGAGGCTGGGAAAATTGAAAGAACAGCTGGAAGGAGTTCCACCAACCCAGCTGAGAAATCGGGGGAAGGATTAGGTTAGCTACTGATCTGTTGGCCAGGCCACTGAGACACAAAGGAAAGCTCAGACTTTAAAGGCAGAAAGCCTGGATTTGAGTCCCGACTCTGTCACTTAACTCTGGCTCTGAGTTACTTAACTTTTCCGAGCTTTGGTTTCATCATCTGTAAAATGGCGATGACGATGTTTTCCTCACAGGGTAGTTTTAAGATTTATGCAATATCGTGTGTGAAAGAGTGTCACAGAATCAAAAGTACTCCACTGATGTCAGTACTTCCAGTGTTCACCACATGTCCCCTCTCAGTCCTTCTGATAGGAGCTGAGGGTAGTCTCTGGATCCTAGACTCTATGTGACTCTTTAAAATGCACAAAACATTCCCCCTCAGAGGCCCAGATGAGTAACACGCCAGAGTAGTGGGAGATGGATCCATGTAGCTTGTGGTCATTCCCTTGAGCCTGTGGTCATTCCCCAGCCTAGTGTCAGGGCCAGCAGTATCTATAAGGCCGAGCAAAGCAGACATAGTGTGTGTGTGTGTGTGTGTGTGTGTGTGTGTGTGTGTGTGTGTGTGTGTGTGTGTGTTTTACATATTTAGTATCTTGTGGTGGGACAGAAAGCAGTAAGGCTGAGCTGGGAGGTGACCAATGATAGAGTAATTGCCTTCTCTCCCTGCCCCAGCTCACATCCTTCCTGTCCAGCTCTTAGCCACAGGTCACAGGGCTTAGTACAGACACTTCTGTGGTTTCTTCACTTAAATTTGCCACTGCTTCTGCCTTCCTCTAGCCCCAAGCTGAGGTTTTGGTTTCAGCCCAGTGGACTCCAATGGGTCCCTTGAGGAGGATGAAGTGCTCAGTGGTGCCCGAGGAGCCCACAGTGCTAAAAAGGGAAGGTTGTAGGCCAGGCGCAGTGGCTTATGCCTATAATCCCAGCACTTTAGGAGGCCGAGGCGAAAGGACTGCCTGAGCTCAGGACCTCAAGATCAGCCTGAACAACATGGTGAGACCGCATCTCTACTAAAAATAAAAAAATTAGCCTGGTGTGGTGGTGCATGGTTGTAGTCCCAGCTACTTAGGAGGCTGAGGCAGAAAGATCGCCTGAGCCAGAAGTTCGAGGCTGTGGTGAGCCGTGACCATGCCATTGTACTCCAGACCCCAACTCAAAAACCAAAAACAAAAAGCAAACAAACAAAATGGAAAAGAAGAAAATGTCGGATTGAGGGGAGCCCTTGAGTATCAGTACATGGAAGTCCCATCGCAGTAGAACCCTCCACACTTTGTATCCTACACCTGCCAGGGGCAGGGGCGGGCGAGGGGAAGGGAACGGCAAGAGGAATAGCAGTCCAGAGAGAAAGTTCGAGTTTCTTCCCTGGAGGGCTCCCCCTTGCCCTGTCCTGCTGCCCAGAGTCCTTGCCCTCTGTCCTCGGAGCCCAGATCCTCCCGTGCCCCTGACCACATGGGCATCCTCTGTCCCCCCAGAGGCCCTGGGAGATCCTCAGCTCTGCTATATCCTGGATGCCATCCTGTTTCTGTACGGCATTGTCCTGACCCTGCTCTACTGTCGCCTGAAGGTAAGGCTGGGCAGGGTGGGGCAAGGGCTGGAAGGGGAAGTGAGAGGGGGTGGCACATGGATTTGAGGAGAGGGAAAGAAGGGGCTCCCCCATGAAGCCTGGGGAAGGAGGTTGGGCTGCTGACTTCCCCTTTACTGATGCCCTTTCCCTCACTCCAGATCCAAGTGCGAAAGGCAGCCATTGCCAGCTATGAGGTATGACCCTCCCCCACCTAGATGCAACTTTTCAGACCAGCAGTTCCCAACCTTTTTGGCGTCAGGGATTGGTTTCGTGGAAGACAACTTTTCCACAAATGGGGGCTGGGAGGCTGGTTTTGGGTTGATTGAAGCACATTACGTTTATTGCACACTTTCTGTTATTATTACATTGTGATATATAATGAAATAATTGTATAACTCAGAATTGTACAATTGTACAACAACGTAGAATCTGTGGGAGCCCTGAGCTTGTTTTCCTGCAACTAGACGGACCCACCTGGGGTGATGGGAGACAGTGACACCCAAAGTGTGTTGTTCGTGTCCAGTCTACTCTGTAATCTCGTTTTGGTTGCTGTCACTGCAGAAAACCCTGCTTCACAGAGACAGGATGTTGGAAATGGAAGCAGGCTTTTCGGTGCTGATCTGACAGGAGGTGGAGATTGGGTGGTAATGCAAGCAATGGGGAGCGGCTGTGAATACAGATGAAGCTTTGCTTGCTCTCCTGCCGCTCACTTCCTGCTGTGTGGCCCAGTTCCTAACAGTCCAGGGACCAGTATCAGTCTGTGGCCCCAGGGTTGGGGAGCCCCTGTTTCAGACTCTTAGGCCTTCTGGGGCTCTAGCCGGGGGTTCAGGGCCTCTGGGAGGGCAAACCTCTCAGGTGCTGATCTACATACACCTGAGGTCCCCTCCCACCTCACCCTTCCCACTCTGCCACCTTGCCAAGTCACTGGAAAAATATCCCACAGGTGACAGGGAAGAATCAAGCAAGGGTGACAAGGATATGTAAGGCAGGCCTGTGTGTTGTGTTGTGTTGTGTGTATATGTGTGTTTGTAGCCATGTGGGCAAATATGTATCATGTCCCAGAGGGGAACTAGCCACTAGCCTCCCTCAGCCAGACACTGCCCTGGGTGGGAAAGCACTGAGGGGCTCTGAAGGATGCATGGGTCTCTAACGCCTTGCCCCGTTTGTCTCTGCAGAAATCAGATGGTGTTTACACGGTAAGTGGCCCTGCCCCCCTGGCCCAGAAAGTCAGCAGAAGAGGGTGGGGTTTGAGTGACCTTTGGAAGGGGCAGCATCTGTGGAGGTGGGGGGGGGGATCGTGAGGGGCTCCAGCTCCTGATGACCCTTCTACTCTCCCTTCAGGGCCTGAGCACCCGGAATCAGGAGACTTATGAGACTCTCAAGCATGAGAAGCCGCCACAGTAGCTTCAGAGCCGATGTGGTCATGTCCTTCTTCACCTTCCAGTTCTCCTCCCAGGCCTCATGGCTGGCATCACATATGCCTCCACGCTGTTAATGCCAGCTGACCTGCCCCCATAATGGCACTCGGCCCCAAGTTAATACACGCCAGTGGTTCCTCCTCCCTGTCAAAGACTAATGCTCAGATGCTATTCATGGGTGTCTCTATTGTGGTCGCATGCCCTTGTCCCACCCCTCCTCTCTTTCCCAGCCCCAACTCCCGCTAAACAACAGGAAGGGAGTGTCCCAATAAAGCCGCCACAGACTAGACTTAGACTCCATTCGTTCATCCATTTATCATATATGTATTCAGTCTCTACTAAGCACTAGGCAGGATACAGTTTCTCAGTTCCTGACCCCACAGAACTCACAGTCTAGGGGACTTCAGGGCTATTTTGCTCGATTGTGGGATGAATGCTGACCGTGGATGGAGGAGGGAGGGGACCTTTGACCCCCAGGTGCTGAGGGATGGAACTGGAGCCAGGAGTAGTGTGTTGGGAGTCTAGGCATATTTGGAGAGATTAGACTCTAAGAAGTGACTTCTGCATCCTCGTGGCTTTCTGTGTCTGACAATCGAACCAGGGTTGGGTTGAGGGAGCCTGGCTCCCAGCCCCAGATAGTCTCCAATCCAGACAGTACCAATCCAGTACATGCATGTAGAAATGGATAGCTGAAGAGCCGAACCCATAGGGATGGTGTGGCCAGGGCTGTGTGAAGCTCCTGGTGGAAGGCTTTACGTGAACATTGAGTTTCAGTGGGTTCTATGGCAAGAGGGACCTTAGAAGGTCAGATAGGGCTAAGTCGGGTCCAGAAAGGAGGTCCTCTCCCCAACAAGCATGGGTGTTGGCCAAGGAATCTCCCTGTCAGTCCCTGTCCTGTTTTTAGAACTGCCAGAAAGCCCTGTCTGGAAGTATTTTATTCTTTGTTTCTTTCTTCCTTCTCTCCCTCCCTCCTTCCTTTTTAAAATAGAGACAGACTCTCACTTTGTTGCCCAGGCTGATCTTCTTGGCTCAAGCAAGGCCTCCCAAAGTGCTGGGATTACAGGCGTGAGCCACTGCGCCTGGCCTGGGAAGTAACACTTCTAAAGATAAAGTGGGAATGAACTTTTATTGAAAAATGTCTCATCTTCCCTTGCGCTACATTTTGGGACTGTAAATCTCTCCCCTTCAACCCAGCCTGATTTCCATTCCATTTTGATTTAATCCAGGTATCACAGCTCCCAAAGCTTCTCTAGTCCTGCAAATCCACCATGTTGGATACCTGTCAGGTCTCTAAATGGCTACTAGGCCAACAGTGCCAGGTTCTGACATGGCTACCAGGCCAGTTGTATGAGCAGTGCCTGGGTAGTAGGAGGGAGGGACTTGGAATGGGTCTTCCCCCGACAGGTTCTAGATGAGAGGTTTTGAGTGGAGGAATCAGAGCACCTTCAGGGAGAGGAGTGATGCCAGTCTTTATTTTTATTGTGAGTTGGGGAAACAGTGTTCCCTGGCTCAGAAGGGAAGGGAGGGTCTTGGGTGACACCTCTGGATTAATTTTTTGGACACATTCTCCTCTTTTTTTTTTTTTGAGTTGGAGTCTGACTCTGTTGCCCAGACTGGAGAAACGCACGCTCCTGGCTACCGCAGCCTCGACCTGCTGGGCTCCGGCGATCCTTCTGCCTCAGTCTTCCAAGTAGCCAGAACTACGGGCGCACGCTACCACAACTGGCTAATTTTTTATTTATTGTAGAGACGAGGTCTCGCCAAGTTGCCCGGGTAGGTCTCAAACCCGTGGGCTCAGGCAATCCACTCGCCTTGGCCTCCCAAAGTGCTGGGATTACAGGCTGAGCCACCAAGCCTGGCCACGTTCTCCTCTTCATGGAATGATTAAGAGGCCATTCGGAGGGAGAACCTCATCGCCTGTGCCCTCCAGAAGTCTAGGAACCCCACTGATGACTGTTCATAGTTCCATATCCAGTGCTCCTTAGAGCTCTGCTGCAGAGCCGCCCCCAGGCCTGTGGGAGATGGCCCCAGGTTTCTCTCTGGATCACCTTCCTCCACGGCACTTACTGGCACTTCCCTCATCTGTCTCTTCAACCCTTTCTCTGCTCCTTCACACCCAAATGTCTCTCCTTCCAAAAGCAGATTTATCTTTTTTCCCTTCTCCGACTCCTCCCACACGTCTCATCTTTTCAGCAGGGTCTACTGCTTTCCCCAGTCCCCCGACACACCAGGCTCAAAGCTTGACTCCCTCAGCATTTATTGTAGTAAATGGGGTAGGTAGGGAGAGGGGCACTAGACTTGGCAGTGGTGTTCCAGAGACCAGCTGGGCAGGAAGACAATGATCTGGACACCTTACTGGGCGGCAGGCTGTGTTCCAAAGTCCACAAAATAGTTCAAGAAGTTAACCAGATCAGTTCCAGCTTTCTTGACCAGTGGCGTCAGCTGCTCCTTTGACTTTTCCAAGTAAGCCCTGAATAGGTGAGGGATTAGAGGTCAGTGTCAGGGACCCTAGGCACTGGAAAGGGCCTTGGCGGTGGTGGGAGGTCAGAGCAGACTAACCTAGGTCCCCAGACTCTAGTGCCTGGTCCATATGACATGGCAAAGCCCCTAGGTAAGGGGATAGGCAGGCCCTCCACTGGGCAGAGGTACAGACCCTAGAGGCTAAAATTCAAGGCCTGGTTCCTGAGGCTCCTATCTGTCCAAGAGGTGGAATTTTCTCTCTCCAATGTAGGCCACGTTCTCCCAACCCCCACCCTCAAACTCAGTCTGCTGTGAGACCCCTTATCTTTCCTTCCTTCCCTCCACAGTCCCATGGCCTCTGAACCCCTTTCCCTGAGACTTACTTGGCCTGGGCCTGAAGCTCTGGGGCCTTGACCTTCTCCACCAGGTCCTTGCCATAGTCGGTCACAGCCTGGACGTACTGGGAGAACAGGCTCTGCAGACTTGGTTCCTCTGCCTGCCTCCGAACCAAAGCTCCTGCACGCGCGCGCGCACACACACACACAGACTCTTTTCAGCAGGATCCACAACAGTGAATCCCAGCCTTCTAGCACCCGCCCCAGCTCTCAGCCTCCTCCCTGCAAAAGTATTCAGCCGCCATTTGGATGGGTGTTCTGGGCTTTAGAGAAGGAATGATCTTCCTTTTGAACCCTCTGGCTGCCAGACCCAGGCAGAAGAGCACAGATAGGTGGCCAGGACCCCCCCCGCACCTTCTCCCCTTGTGCCCCCCTTTCCGTATCACACCCACCTTCCAGGCTACAGATGGTAAGGAGCAGCACAGTCACAGCGAGCAGCTTCATGGTGGTGGCAGAGGGGAAGGCGGCCCAGAAACAGTGCTGGTGGGGGTGGAAGTGGGAGGAGACTGAAGCCAAGTGGGCTTCAGCCCCTTCCAGGGGATCACCCTCCCTGGGTGCCCACTTCGATCTGGTTCCTTCCCTTTCCACAATTACAGCCCAGGCCCTTTGGATGCTGCACACAACTCTTGCTCCCTTGCCTTACCTAGTCAGTGGCCCTGTCCTTGGTGTCTGTGCCTGACCTGGCTGGAGAGGTAGGGGCTATATACCCGTTTGCTGACCCACCCCCTGTCAGGTGACAGGGACTGTGAATAGGCCCAGTGGGGGCAAGGACCTTGTTGGAATAAACAAGGTGGAGAAAGGGGGGAGGCGAGGACAAGCACATGGGGACTCATGGTGATGGGGTGAGAGGCAGGGGGGACAGGCCTTAGTGGAGGCCAAGGGGTTACATTTCAGCTCCATTAGAGATTTATTCATTCGGAGTCTGGGGCCAGTAGTCCTTGGATCTGAATGTAGCCCAAAGCAGGATTTGTAGCTATTTCTCTAGAATGCTCTCACATATCAAGCCCTCAGCTCTTCCCATTATGGGTAGATTTCCTCTCCTCAATCCTACCCACTCCTCTGCAACTCAGCAGAGGTGTTGGGGATCGGAAGAAAGGGGTTGAAATCAGCGGTGGGGTGAGGGGAATGGAAATCGGGGAAGTGAGGGTCAGGGTCAGAGGACAGGTGTGATTGCCTCTGTCCCCTCTTGAGTTAATGTGTAATGAGACAGAGGAAGAAAACACGAGAGCCCAGAAAAACCCGGTGCTGATCAATGAGCCTACCCTACCCCCAATAAAACAAATTCAGCACAGTTGGAGGGCTCTGGCAGGATAAAGACTGAAGGTGCCTGGTCACTTGATCGCCTTATCAGTTCTAGGATGTGGTTAGCCAATATTGAATCAGCAGGGGCAACAGCATCCCTCTGGCCAGGGCTCTTCTCCCAGTTCTGATGGGAGTGTGGGAGGGCAGAGGTACACTCCCCTGGTCCCAAAGCATTTGCGTGAAATCAGCTAAATAGATATCAGAAGCATTTTTATCTTCCACCCTTTTGCCCCCAGCACTTACTCCCTGTGCATGCAGAACATTCCTGAGAACTGAGGGTGGAGGTGTAATGCTACTGAGGAAGTGGGTGACCAGAGACGAGGAACCTTGCTCTGTCTTCAGTTATTCCCCGGTGGAGGCTTAGTGTTCGAGGGTCCCCACCCCCTTGGCTTGCCCCTGGCCCCCGGTGGAGCGCGTTTGGGGGCCGAAACCCATATTCCTAGACTTTGTTAACTCTCCCTGGGACTCAGGGAAGAAAGCTACCGAGGACAATTGTTTCAGGAAATAGATCTGTTCGAACCTGCTGCTTCTGCTTGGAACTCTCACGCGCATTCCTCCAGTCCCACTAAGAGGGCAGAAGGGGGTACTTTGAAAGAAGTAGCCCTCCAGGAGGGAAGTGTGGGCCTCTGTCCCAGAGAGTGCTGGCTTATGAGTAGCACTCCTTTGGAGGTGTCTGTGGAGGGATCTACAGGGGTCGCGGGAGCGATTCAAATGAACCAGGGTTCGAAATACGTCCCCACAGTGGTTCCCTCTGCCGCCCTTGACAAAGCGCGTCTCCAAGATGTGGTTTCACTTCACTTCTCCGGGGTGGTGGACGGGGCTTCAGGAGCCCAAGCTGCAAGATGCTCCCTCTGGCGTCTAGTACCCTCACAAGCCTCTCCCGACCTTGGAGAGGCCTGGCGCCCTAAGGCCTTCTGCTTAAGTCTAAGGAGCCACCAATCCAGTCCCGCCCGCCTCTGCAGCGCCAGGGTCGAAGCTCTCGGGCCGTCTGACCTGCCACTCCTTTGCTTCCTCCTCTGCCATTGGCCACTGGGAGACAGAGTGAGCTGGGCTTTCACCGACTGGGCGGCCCCAATCTGGGGAGGGTTGGGTCTTTGATAGCTTTCTTTGCCCGCTTCCAAGATGGCGCGCATGGCCACGCTCGGAATGCAACGTGAAGCCGCAGCTCTGCCATTACTCAAGATGGCTGCCCCCATCAAGATGACCGGGGTGTGCCGGGGGGAGAGGGGCAGCATGATGGTCTGAGATGGTAAGGGCTACTGCTTCATTAGGGGCCCGGTCTTGGGACCCGGGAATGAAGAGTAGGGAATCTAGGGCGCCAGATGAGGCCTGTGGCGGGGGCTAGGAACACAGAATGGGAGAGAGGACAGGGTGACAGGTGGGGTTGAGGGATCAAAGATGAGGTGGGAGCAAGCCTGGGGTCCAGTCTCCACATCAGTGCTCTCTCCCTCCACTTTTCTTGTTCCAGGTCTAGCGTCGGACCATGTGGAAGTTTCTGGGACTGGGGAGCCGGGTAGTGGGGGGTGGGACCCGTGGGGGGTAGAAGGAGCAATTGCGTCCTTTCCCAGACTGACCCCTGACCCCGGCCCCTCTCCGTCCTCTGGACTAAAATGGGGAACACATTGGGCCTGGCACCAATGGGGACTTTGCCCCGCCGGGGCCCCCGCCGAGAGGAACCTCTGCCCAACCCTGGGAGCTTCGATGAGCTGCACCGGCTGTGCAAAGGTGAGAACTTGGCGTTTGGGTGTATCAGTGTGAAGAGGTGGAGGAGGGGAGGGTCCTGAATCCCGGGTATTCAGCGATGGGCGCAGGAACCGGGAGCTCAGCTGGAACGGGGAGATCCAGCGTCAGGAAGGATCTGGTGCCCAGATGAAGCAGAGCATCGCGTTGCAGGACTTGAAAGGAGGTCAATTCCTCCAAAGTGCTTCCTTTGGGATTGAAAGGGGAGACTGCCTCTTGGGGCAGAGGTTCCTTGTCTGTGCTTATTCCTTCCCTCCCCCCCCCACCCCTTCAGATGTATTCCCAGCACAAATGGAGGGAGTGAAGCTCGTTGTCAACAAGGTTCTGAGCAGCCATTTCCAGGTGCTCCCACTTCTCTGGCCCTCCTTACTATTCCTCCTTGCCTGTCCCTGGATCCTCTTCTCCTCTCCTTGGTACTCCAGCCTTAGCCAGGCTATATGGGACAAATGAGGGAGGATGTGGGCCTTTCTTGACCTCCCTTGCCTGTGGGACTTGTTGCTTTACATCTGGTGACCCTCTTATATGTGGGAATATTTGAGATTCTTAAGAGGCCTTCTGGATGGGGAGAAGATGAGGATGGGATGAGGGATCGAAGTGGAGCAGGAATGTTCTCTTCTCCAGTGACTTCTCTTTCCCTAGGTGGCTCACACAGTGCACGTGAGTGCTCTGAGCTTGCCGGGCTATCACCTCCATGCGGCCTATGCAGGGGACTGGCAGCTTAGCCCCACTGAGGTGAGTTCTCCACACACCTGGGTCGTCTCCCTAAGAGCCCACCTGGGACCCAGGTCTGCAGGAGGAGGAAATGTGTGTGTTATGGGGAAGAATGGGCAGTCACCGGATTCTCTGTCTCTTCTGAGTGGAAGAGGGTAGAGCAGCCTTTCTGTGGGAAGAACCCCCAGTTTGTGCCTGCGTCTCCACCAGGGGGCGCTGGGTACTGTTGATGAAATTGTGTATTTGGGTTTAGGCCCGGCTGCGTGGCACCACTCAGGCTAACTACTGTCTACCCTCTTCCACAGGTGTTCCCCACTGTGGTTGGCGATATGGACAGTAGCGGAAGCCTCAACGCCCAGATCCTGCTCCTCTTGGCAGAGCGGCTCCGAGCTAAGGCTGTCTTCCAGGTGACTCACAGTTCCTGCCTGGGTCCACTGAGGCACTTCCTCTCTGTCCTCCCTGACTTTCCCCGCTCTGGGGTCTGGGAGGGAGGAGCCGAGTCAAGAGTGATCACAAAGAGGTAGCGAGATTTACTTCTGCTCTTGCCATCTAGACACAGCAGGCCAAGTTCCTGACGTGGCAGTTTGATGGCGAGTACCGTGGAGATGACTACACAGCCACTCTGACCCTAGGAAATCCTGACCTGATTGGGGAATCTGGTGAGGGATTGGCCAGGGTTCTTTTCATCTTGGCTGCCCATTTGATAATATTGGTGATGCCGCTTTGTCTTCTGTACAGTTTGGGGATGATCTTGGGCAGGCGGAGTTGGGGTTGCTGGGGGTGGGGGAGCAGGCCTGATGCTGTCTCTCTGACTGACTCCATGTGTCTCCATTCCCCTACAGTGATCATGGTTGCTCACTTCCTGCAGAGCCTCACTCATCGGCTGGTGCTGGGAGGAGAGTTAGTTTATCACCGGAGGCCTGGAGAAGAGGGGGCTATCTTGACGCTGGCTGGGAAGTACTCGGGTATGGGGCAACGTCATGGAGTGGTGGCATGGAGAGACCATTCTGGACTTTGCGGGGGTTCCTGGCCTGTGTCCTACTACAGTAACACTCCTTCCCTGTACTTTGGTTTTTACAGCTGTACACTGGGTAGCTACATTGAATGTGGGATCGGGCGGGGCCCATGCAAGTTATTACCACAGGGCAAATGAACAGGTGAGACTGACCTTGCCCCTTCCCCAGCAAGTCAGTCATGTACTCTTGCCCCCCCGGACGTCCATTGGCCCTGATGGATGACCTAGTATTCCTCTGACCCACGCCATGTGTACATTTTCACGCATGCCTTCATCCTGCTGATTCCCTGACAGCACCCCTCTGGTCCTCACTGATGTTGACCTCCTTCTTGTCCTTGCCCGTGGTTCCCAGGTTCAGGTTGGAGTGGAGTTTGAGGCAAACACAAGGCTCCAAGACACGACCTTCTCCTTCGGTTACCACCTGACTCTGCCCCAAGCCAACATGGTGTTCAGAGGTGAGGGTTATTGGGATGGCATTCAGAGGTACTGAGGGACTGGGGATACAGAAGGAGGAAGCACCCCTTCTGCTAACTCCTCCCACCACGCCCTGTTTAGTAACCAAGTCAACGTCCTCCCCAACAGGCTTGGTGGATAGTAATTGGTGTGTAGGTGCTGTGCTGGAGAAGAAGATGCCCCCGCTGCCCGTCACCCTCGCCCTTGGAGCCTTCCTGAACCACTGGCGCAACAGATTCCACTGTGGCTTCAGCATTACTGTGGGTTGAGGTCGCTCCAGAGCCAACCCCCACAGCAGCTGGAACCTCTGAGTCAGATGCCCTGGGGCCAGAGACTAGGCCCCCTCCAGAGCCTGCCTTGGTGGGGACCTCTAGGTCCCAGGAGCAGAGTGGGGGACAGGACCACGCCCTCCTCAGAACTGGAGCTGCCTCAGGGGCAGCTGAGGAGGCAGAGGTCTGAGGCTCGACCTCAGCTGCCAGCCCCACCGTCATCTTTCCTGTGCTCTTGTGGCCCTGAACTAAGGGAGGAGGATGAAGGGGTGTGTCTGGCTGAATCCTACCCCCACTTCCTTCTTTGTTTCTCTTTGGTTAATCCTGCATGGGATTAGCTTACCACCCTGTTTTCTATCCAGAGCCTCCCATGGCTGGGAAAGTAGGAATGAAGGGCTAAATCTCTGGCCTCAGAAAGTGGGGCCCACTCATTCCCAGAAGGAGCTTAGCCCTGAGGCATTCTCCTGCCCCAACTTCTGAGCTTCCAGAGAACAACTTTGTCCCCATGGTCACCCCCCAAAACCCCCATGACCGCATGAAGAGGCAGTTATTGCTTTAGTCTTTCATTGCCACCACCGGGCTGTCTTTCTACTGGACCCAATCTCTGGTCCCAGCATCTTCCCCTTCCAGTCCAGTGTATCCCAGGCGAGCTGGGGAAGGAAGTGAGCCTCGGCCTCAGCTGCAGATCTCCTGGAGCAGTGGCATCATGGCCGACAGTCCCTGGATGTGCTGGATCTGGTTCCCATATGCATTGTTAATGCTCCGGAGCTCAGCTAAAAGGCCCAGCAGCTTCGCATACAGAAACCTTTGGAGGAAGTGGGGGGGTCGGCAGGAAAAGAGGAGGGAAGTAAGGCAGCTGGGAGTCTTGTCTTGAGGCCCCGATCCCCTGAACTGTCCCTCAGTGAAGCTAGGCCTGAAAACTCGAGAAAATCACGCTCTGGTGCAATATCTTTTTCAAAGGTTCTAAAGATCTCTGGTGGGCTCTCTGATACTGTCTTCCCTCACTGTGCCCAATTTTTCCTGAACCCAGAGCTCTGAGGGCCAAGTGTAAAGAAAGCCCCAGGATTGGGAAGAACATTAGCTGTGTGGAATCTGAGGGTCTGGCCTGCTAAAGCCGGCTCCAGAAGTGGGTGCGTTCTGTGGTATAACACATACCCTTTCTGGCCAAACTGGCTCCTGGGGGGATGAAAAAGAACAGAGTGGGCCACCTCAGCACCCGGCTAGAGCATGGACTACTGCCCCAGAACTGGCTTTGTCTGTGAAACTGTGAGGGACCAAACGTCAAGGGAAATGAAGGATGGAAGGAGTTGGCCCAGTGGAGAGGAGGGGAGGGACAAGGGAGGAGTGGGCAAGACTCTCACAATTCTGCTCTGTCTGGAGAAGTGGACAGGCACGTGACGGCTGCCATCAATCTCAGGAATGCTACTACGCAGAGCCTCTGAGCTACTACCTGGCATCTACTGAATAAAACAAATCTGGAAAAAGTGAGATGAAGCAGCAGTAAAAGCAATTGGGATGCTGGAGCGATGTGAGATGGGGATGGCTGGGGGAAGGGCTAGACCCCAAGAGACCTGGTTTCCTCAGGGAAAGGACAGTAGGAAGCATTCCTCCCGAGCTCATGTGTCCCTAACCCTCTCCCACCCTGGTGCGGCCTCACAGCCCCGTCTCCCGGCGTACCGATCCCGGGGCCTCGGCTGCTGGCCCTTGATGTAGCTCTGCAGAGTCAGTGCCATCTCCTCCTGCAGCTGATTAATCTCCTCTCTCTGGGTCACCCCGGGGCGGTCTGTAAGGTAGGGAACTGGGAATGACAGTGTGGGGCTGAGGTGGGCCTGCACAGGGCCCTGGGGCTGAGGCTGGCCTAGACCCACTCTGAGTTTGAAGGCTAGAAGGCCTGGAGTGGATAGATTTGAAGAGCTGAGAGTTTATGCAACAGAAGTTTCTGGCCTCTGGGAGATACTCACCAGGAGAGAAGAGGGCCATGGCAGCTAGGAGCACATACTCGGGCTCCTGGAGCTGCAATCTTCGCAGCGTCCCATGGAAGCGAAAGAGCAGCTCCAGAAATTCTACCTGGAATCCCACTGGGGGAGACACTAGGCTTAGGGGCTTCCAGGCCCCCTGACCATGTACCATACCACAGGGAACACATGCCTGTCCTGCTCCATCACCGTCTCACCATGGGCTCCGTCTTCCATCGTGTAGCGAAGAGGCCCACACAGGAAGTTTTGCGTTTGGAGACAGAAAGTGGTGTTGAGTGCGATGTGACAGATTTCCACAGCTGCTCCCTTGAGAAGGGAGATCTGGTCCTCCATGGGTAGGGACCTACAGAAGGCAGGAAGCAAGGGTACTTCAGAGAGGGAAAGGGACTCTCCGCCCTGACCCATTTAAAACAAAGCTGAAGACGGGCGCAGTGGCTCACGCCTGTAATTCCAACACTTTGGGAGGCCGAGGTGAGAGGATTGCCTGAGCCCAGGGGTTCAAGACCAGCCTGGGAAACATGGGGGAGACCTCGTCTCTACAATAAATAAAAAAATAAGCCAGGCATGTTCGTGTGCGCCTGTAGTTCCAGCTACTTGGAAGGCTGAAGCAGAAGGATTGCCTGAGCCCAGCAGGTCGAGATTGTAGTGACCATGTGTATGCAACTGAATTCCAGCCTGGGTGACAGTGAGACTCCAACTTTAAAAAAAAAAGCTGAAAAACTGGGCACAGTGGTTCACACTTCGGGAGGCTGGAGCAGGAAGATTGCTTGAGCCTGGGAATTCAAGGTAGCAGTAAGCTATGATTGTACCACTGTCCTCCAGCCTGGGCAACAGTGGGACCCTGTCCACCACCCTCCCAAAAAAGAAAAAATTAAATAATAAAAACAAAGCTGGGAATGTGAGACTTTGGTGCTTGGAAAGGCTGAAGGATGTGTTAGTTTGTGGGCAGTGACTTTTTGGGGTGGTGGGTGTGTAGTTTCCTGAAGTGTTTGCTCCCTGAAAATGAGGGGAGGTCACTCACTCACCGGAAGAGAGGCAGGTCCTTGGTGAACTTGATGACTTGCTGTACCATGAAGGTGTTGATGTCTGCAAAGTGCATAAGCAGAGGCAGCACGGGGCCCAGGGTGGGTGAGGGCTGGTGTTGGATGAACAGAGAAGCTGGAGGCTGCAGAGATCAGAACATGAGCAGGAGGTCCTGGCCCAGGGCCTTCCTTCAGGTCTCACTGGCCTTGTTCTGGGAGGTTCCTTGCTGAGGCTCTGGGGCAGGCTTGTACTCTGTCAGTGCAGGGCACACAGCCCTCGCCCTCAGGCCAGCCTGCTGGGCACCCTCCCTCTTGGTCATATTCCAGCCCAAATCTTGCAGGTGCTCACCCTGAACTGCACAAACTGTTCAAACATGGTGCCGACGTGGCGGACATGGGCCCCGAGGAGTGTTCGGATCAGCTCCTCCTGCTCCTTGCTCAGCTGTGTGGGTGTTTGCTGGGCCCGGCGCTGGGCCTGCTTGGCTCTCCGTAGTGCCAGGGCTTCTGCTGACAGGATCACTGTGCCAGGCAAGAGAGATGACAAAGCTGTTGAGACCAGCAGAGAGTGCTTTCTCTGCCAGTCCCTGATCCGGGGCCCTTCAGCCACTGTGCACCCGGAAGGATGGGTGAGGGAGGAGAATTCCTGGGGCCTCCTTGGGCTTGGCAGAAGTTCTAGAGGGTCCAGGAGGCAGGGCACTTCTGCACACCTTCACCAACCTGTAAGGCACTGCAGCAGGAGACAGTACGCCTAGGAGAGAGGGAAGGGTAGGGAGTCACATGGGAAGCGTGTAAGATCATGGCTCCTGGGGGACATTGAGAAGGGAGGGACCTTGGTACCTAAAATGCCACCTTATGTGGACACAGCATAATCCCCAAAGTTCTGAGGCTAAATCTCACTGGATGAAATAACTACATGGTAGATAGACAGGACAGCTATTATTCATGCTTTTCAGAAATGTAATCAGCTTAGATTCCAGTGACAGGTCCAAGGTCACAAAGTAATGTAAATAGAACTCAAACCAAGATCTTTTGACTTCCACAGTTTCCTTTCCACTCTTCAATACTGAAAAGTAGTATGAGACCATGGGAAAAGCAAGAGTTTGGGGAGTCAGACAGACTTGTGTTTGAACCTGACTGTACAACTTTTTAACTGAATGAACTTGGGCACATTGACTTCGGCAAATCCCAGTTACGTTGTCTGTTGGAAGCATAGCTTAATCACCTGGCACAGAGAAAGCACTAATTCATCAATTATTGAGTATAAATGATAGGCACTATGCCCAAGAGATAGAAAAAAAAAGCCAGAGCATTTCAGGTAGAGGGAATGGTAAGTGCAAAAGTCCTGGGGGCAGAGTCTGCTTTGGTGTGTTCAAGTATGGCGTTAAAAATCTCCTGCATGCATATGTTTATCATGGCCCTATTTACATAGCGAAAACACGGAGCCAACTTAGTGTCCATCGACATGGACTGAATAAAGAAAATGTGGCACACATACACCTTGGAATACTAGACAGCCATAAAAAGGAACAAAATCATGTTCTTTACAGCAACATGGATACAGATGGAGGCCACCATTCTAAATGCAGAAACAGAAAATGAATACCACATGCTCTCACTTATAAGTGGAAACGAAACACTGAGCACACAGGGGTATAAGGATGGGAACAACAGACACTGGGGACTCCCGAAGGATGGAGTGAGGGGAGAAAGGGGTAAGGGTTGAAAAACAACCCATCGGGTACCTGCTTTCCACCTGGGGGGGGCAGGTTCCATAGAACCCCAGACCTCACCATCACGCAATGCACCTGTGTAACAAACCTTCTCATGTACCCCTTGAATCTAAATTTTTCTTTTTTTGAGTTGGAGTCTCACTCTGTCACCCAGACTGGACTGCAGTGGTCACTCCTGGCCACCGCAGCCTCGACCTGCTGGGCTCTGGTGATCCTTCCGCCTCAGTCTTCCAAGTAGCTGGAACTACAGGCGCGCGCCACCACGCCCAGCTAATTTTTGATTTATTGTAGAGGTGAGTTCTCACCAAGTTGCCCAGGTGGGTCTGGAACCCACGGGCTCAGGCAATCCACTCACCTCGGCCTCCCAAAGCGCGGGGATTACAGGCTGAGCCACCGAGCCCAGCCTAAATTTTTTTTTTAAGGATGGCATTTAAGTCAGTGGTTGGAATGGATTGAGCAAGGGGAAGAGTAAGAAGTAAAGTCTGAAGAGGGATGTGTGGGAGCCAGACCATGAGGTCTTTCATTTTAAGAGAGATGGGGAACCTCCGGGGGTTTCAGGCAGAATAGTGAGATAGCCCTGCTGTATGGGAAACGTGTTGCTGGAAACAGGGACAAAGCAGAGACATGGTCGGGGGGGGTAGTCTTGGGATGGTGGCAGGCCAACTCACTGTCCTTCCTCATGCCCGCATCTAGGCACTTCTGCAACCTGCAGGCTGGGCAATGGCGACGCTGGGCCTTGCTGACTTCACAGCTCCCAGCAAAGGAGCAGGTGGGACCAGCACTTTTGCTGACTGTGCGTCTGTGAGAGACGGGGACATTGTTAGGGTCTGGGATGGCAGCAAAGAGGCAGATGAGTGTATGAGGGCTGAAGTGACTTGGTCCGAAAGACCTGGGGATCTGGTAACATGGGCTCATCGGAGCTGTGCCTGGAGATCCCCAGGGGTGAATAGGGTTCAACACATCTCAAACATTTCCATGGAGACACAAGGTCACTCAGGGAAATCTGACAGATGTAGCATGCCTTGATGTTTTGCAGGTGGCGGGGACGTGATACATACTTTTGGCTCATGGGTTGTGTCTGTCAGGCAGATGTTTGGCTTCTCTATTGTTATGCCACCAGTTTATACAGTGTTGTGGCTGGCATGATGTAGGGTGCCAGCTACAGGGCAGATGGACTCGAAGGCGGAGGAGTAATGTAGCTGGACGAACTCAGGCGTGTGCCGGGTTGAAAGGCAGGCCCATGGGCAGTTGGCTTGGAGGATCTTCCTGCTGGGAGGAGGCACTCACCTGAAGAAGCCCTTGCAGCCCTCACAAGTCAGCGCGTGGAAATGGTAGCCTGTGGCTCGGTCCCCACATACCACACAGTTTCTCAGCTTGTCTTCCTCGCTGTCCATGACTCCAGGTGTTGGGTGGCTGTCACAGACCCCTGGATGAGGGCAGGGCCAGCAGACAGCTTTTGACCTTTTCTCTTCCTTCTGCAGCATCTCTTCCCGAGACTGCCCTGGTCCTGATCCCCAGGACTCTCTGTACCTTATTGTGTTTAATCTAAGGCCCCAGTAGGTTTCCTACCTGCTTGTCTTAGGCAGTATGCCACCTGCAAGCCACAGAGTCTGATGGAATGCCTCTCCTCAGACTCACACGCTGACCCTGCTTTTCCTCTGGTCTCAGGAACTGCCAGCAATTGGTGTTGGGGACTAAGGGCCTCAGTACCTGGAAAACAAGAGACTTGTGTTTTCACGTGGCCGCCAGTTGCTCTCGGTGCCTGTGAAGGTAGGGCACAGACCCTGGACTCAGGGCAAAGGCCTGGTTGGGAGGTTCCCAGCATGACCAAGGTGCTGGTTGGTGGCACATGGGGTGGGACTCTAGTGGGCGGGAGCCTCGTGACTCATGGAAGCTACTCTTTATCAGACTCATGGAACTTTTCCTGATGCTAGATCTGCAGCCTTCCATGTGCATGGATCCTGAGTATGCTGGGGAGAGAGAGAGAGTAGGAGAGACATAACAGTCTTTATGCACACAGTATGTCAGTAGTAAGAGAATAGGTGTAACAGTTGCACAAGGCTCCCAAAAGGAAAGTTCTTAACAAAAGGGTGGGGTCTAATTAAGAGCTTATGCAAAGAGTTAGAAGGGGTCCCCTTCCTAACTAGAGGGGGCTGAGAATGAAATTACAGTGACCTCAGGACATGGTAGTTTGTGCCTGTAGTACCCGCTACTCAGGAGGCTGAGGCGGGAGGATTGCTTGAGCCCCGGAGTCCAAATCCAACCTAGGTAACACAGTGAGACCCCATCCCCCAACCTCCAAGCCCCTCAACCCACCAAAATAAAGCGTGTTATTAAAAGAAGCAGAAATAAGTAAATCAGAGTGACCTCTAGTTAGAGGTAGTTGGGGCAGATTTGGGAACTCTTACCCCAAAGCTGGTTGTGACCAGAGTCATCGCACAAAGCCCTACATTCAGAGGAGTACCATGCTCGGTTCAGTACTCTGCTGTTGCTGTCTTGAAATACTTATGATTTTTGAGCAAGAGGACCAGCATTTTCATTTTGCAGTGGACCCCAAAAATTCTGTACTCAGTCCCATTTGGAGTCAAGATGAAAGATTTCTAACTAATAAGTTTAAGACTCAGAAGTAGAAGTCTTTTTTTTTTGAGTTGGAGTCTCACCCTGTCGCCCAGACTGGAGTGCAGTAGCCGCTCCTGGCCACGGCAGCCTCGACCTGCTGGGCTCCGGCGATCCTTCCGCCTCAGCCTTCCAAGTAGCTGGAACTACAGGCGCACGCTACCACGCCCAGCTGATTTTTTGATTTATTGTGGAGATGAGGTCTCGCCAAGTTGCCCAGGCAGGCCTCGAACCCGCGGGCTCAGGCAATCCACTCACCTCAGCCTCCCAAAGCGTGGGATTACAGGCTGAGCCACCGAGCCCAGCTTTTTTTTTTTTTTTTTAG